GCTGGGCGCGGCCGCGCCGGCGGCGGGAAGTGAGGCGGAGGGAAAGGAGAAGTTGCGGGACTCGGGGCCCGGCGCCGGCGGGCTGTAGGCCCCTCTCTGCTCCTTCGCCCCGGCCCCGCGGGGGAGGGTCTCGCCCGGCGGTAAGGGAGGCAGAGCCCTGGGAGGAGACTCACGTTCCTGTTCTCGTGCTTTTCTCCCCTGCAGCCGAAACAGCTTCCCGACAAGTGGCAACACGACCTTTTCGACAGCGGCTTCGGGGGTGGTGCCGGCGTGGAGACCGGTGGGAAACTGCTGGTGTCCAATTTGGACTTCGGAGTGTCGGACGCTGACATTCAGGTGAGGGACAGGAGCTTCTCGGTGGGCAGTTCACCCCGCGCGGAATCGGTCGTGCTGTTTGGGATGTGGCCCTGAACCCCCCCCTTTTAGGACAGTGAGCTTTCCCAGGCACCCAGGGGCTAGCCACTGCCCCCCCATAAGGGGCCGCTGGAGTGCAGCGCAGAGGTCATGCTGGAGTTGAACCTCGTAGGCCGTTTGTGCTTGAAAAGGCCCTCAGCCTCGCCCAGGAGCGGTGCTCTTCCTACTGCACCTGTCCTGTGGGCCAGTGTTCTCAGCCAGAGCTTCCAGTTCCTAACAGGGACAGAGTGGTCGAGTGTGAGTGGTTCCCGTGTTACTGGTAGAGCTAGGCTGCTTGCTTGCTTTATTTGTGTCCGTTTTCATGATTTGTTGGGAAGAGGAAAACCTCCCTCTACAGAACCGACAGCACAGAAGCAGGACAGCACCGCGTCTCTCTGGCTCTGTTTGCCTCCAACCCTGTGTCTTATGTGTATCGTTTCACTTACCACCCGCCACCCCCACCCCAGGTCTTGTTAGTGGTCTGCTTTTCAAACCCATCTTTGGTTGAAGCCTCTTAAGTTTTTTTAAGATTAACGTTATTGATTGAATCCTGAAGGCATTTAAACTTGTTCTGTGGTTAAGTGACGACACCTTGGGGGTCAGCCCTAGAGATGCCCAGGTCAGGGTGCTGGGCCGTCCTGGGTTCAGTTTCCCAGAGTTTAGCTGTGGGAGGACAGAGCAAGGCCGGTGAGCACTCACAGTGTCTCAACACTTTTTTTAAGGTGGTTTCTGGCATCCACTGGAAACCGCTTTTGGTGAACTCCACTTCCCGCTGTGTGCCTGCGGCCGGAGTAGCCCCACACTCTGGGTTCCCTCTCCAACTCCCAGCCTGCCTGAGGTCAGGGCAGTTTCCATGGCAGCGCTTGACTTCAGACTTTGCGGCAGGCTTGAGTAGGAGGAGAGGGAAAGGTGAGCCAGAATCTGCCCTGGGGGAGGGGCTGGGTCAGGGCTCCCAAATCAGTGGGCCCTTTGAGCTGGTCCACATGTCTGATGGTGGATGGTGTCCCTTGTTCTGTGATCTTGGCCTTTGCTGATTGTTGGCACAGTCCTCGGATGTGTTGTGAACTCTCCTTTGTTGGAGGAGACAGCGACTTCATCTCGTGCCCCTCACTGGTGGGCTTTGTGATCCTTTACCTGCATCATGGTACAGATGTCAGGTCCCCAAGTTGGCAGGAGCCCTCAGGCCCAGCTGTTCCTGGAAGTTGCTGTCCCGCCTGCCCCATCCTTCCCCACATCCCCCACTACCACTGTCCTGCCCCCATACCTTTGTCTGACACCCAGGGAAGTACCCTCAAAGTAGCTCACACTTCCAGGGACTGTTCCTGGGCCATTGGAAGGAAAGAGCTTTGCTGATAATTGTTCTTTCTGACTCCCAGGAACTCTTTGCTGAATTTGGAACTCTGAAGAAAGCAGCTGTGCACTACGATCGCTCTGGCCGGAGTCTGGGAACAGCCGACGTGCACTTTGAACGGAAGGCAGACGCCCTGAAAGCTATGAAACAGTACAACGGTGTCCCTTTGGACGGTATGTTTGGGTTTGGACCCTGGGAGGATGAGGGGCTGGCACCTGTCCGTGCATGAGTGTGGTTTACTCCTCTGGTTGAGGATGCTTCCATTTGCTCCCTTGTCTCTTCCACCTACCACCTTTGGTGCTGCCCTACACACCTGGACCCTCCTCTTGTGAACCCCCATCCGGCAAGCTATATCCCTCCCCCCCTTCAGCTCCTTCCAGAAGTCTTGCTTCTATGAAGCCACCTCAGAGCTGCCATAGTGCCTCTCTGAGTGTGGGGCTGTAGTCGTAAAGATAGATACCACTTTTCCTTCTGTCCGGTTGTCCACACTTTTCCACCTGTGAGTGACACCTGCCTGAACCGGACTGAGAAGGAGCGGGGTGTTGGCGGGTCATTGTTTGTGCTGTCTTGTTCTCTTCCTAGTCTGTCCAGGCCATCTGTCTTGGCAGGAGTTTTGGAGCTGCTAGGGACCCTTTCTGGTGCCTACACAGAGACAGTGCGGCGCCCTGGGCGGGTTTCGGGGCTCTGACGGGAATGTGCCCTCTTGTGTTCCCTACCACAGGCCGCCCCATGAACATCCAGCTTGTCACCTCACAGATTGACACACAGCGCAGACCCGCACAGAGGTGAGTCCCGGGCACCTGGACAGGACTGGCAGTGGGCTCACGTCAGGCCTCTGGGAATGTGAACACGCCCCCTTCTCACCAGTGTAAACAGAGGCGGGATGACTAGAAGCCGTGGTTCTGGAGGCTTTGGCGGCGGCACCAGGAGAGGCGCCCGTGGAGGCAGCCGGGGCAGAGGCAGGGGCACCGGCCGGAGTTCAAAGCAGCAGATCTCTGCAGAGGAGTTGGATGCCCAGCTGGACGCTTACAATGCGAGGGTGCGTGCTGGGCGAGGGTGGCTGGGGCTGGCCTGGGCCTGGAGGGTGGGGGCCTGGACCGGAAGGGTAGGGTGGGGGTCTCCTCTTGAGTGGAACCTTGTCTCCTGTTTCAGATGGACACCAGTTAAACACCAGCAAGTCCGTGCATGGAACTGGGCCTAGACATCTCGTCCCTGCTCCCATGGGAGGCGCAGGCTGGGGCTGTGCGGCCAATGATGGATTTGTTTCTTCTGTTTTAAAATAGGATTTAAAACTCATGTAAAGATTTTTTTTCATTTTTTTTCTTTTTTTTTTTTTAAAATTCTGAAACAGACCTGTTTTGTACCGAGTTATTTTTGGGATAAATTTTACTGGTTGCTGTTGTGGAGAAGGTGGTGTTCTCACCTTTGCCATAATAAACAGAAACGTGTGTAGAACTGGAGCTCTGATTCGTTCCGCTGGCAGAGTCCTTGTCTGGGCCACAACTTTGGTGCCAACCGGGGTGGGGGGCTCTGCTGGCATCTGGTATCCTGGTGGGGGGGGTTGGCAGTGCAGCCGTGGGGGGCTGCCTTCCATCTGTTCCTCAGATCCTAACCCCGTGCTCTGACCTGGTCGGTGGGAGGATGTGGAGCAGTAGTCTCTCTACCTGCAGCCACTTGTCCACTGCCTGTACTGTGGTGTGGGGCAGCCACCTGTGTTGCTGCTGAATTTCAGGTGACTGGGCTGGGCTATCCGTTTTCTCTGGTTTTCAGAAACCTGGCATCAGCAGCTCTGACTGTGCCTCAGCACTGCCTCTCCTGGGAGGCAGCCCACAGCTCAGGTGGCTCCCAGGTCCCCATGGGGCTAGAGTGAGTCACACAGGAGTATGACTAAGGGGCGGCCCTTTAACTCTCAGCTCCAATGCTGTCACTGCGGAGCCAGTGGCTGCCACTTTCACAGCCTGTCCATGCTGGGTCCTGGGAAGAGCCTAGCCCAGCAGGGGTGGACCAGCAGATGCCTGGCTTTAGCAGCTGTGTCCTGAGGGGTGGATGTGATAAAGGTCAGGTCATCCAGGCAGAGGTGGGTATGTCCCTGAGGAAGTGGCCTTGGGCTGAGCAGGCACAGGCTAGGCTGGGAGACTGCCTTGGGAGATTGTTGACAGGAGAGAGAGACCAGGTCATCTTGCTCCCTGCTGTCCAGAAGCTAAAGACAGCACCTGATGGAGGGATGAGGTGGCCCAGGCCAGAGGCTGTAAATGCGGGACCTGAGGGCACTGAGATGGGGAGCTGGGGGTGGTTACTCAGGCACTGGAGGGAGCAGTGGCCAGGACCTGCAAGCTGGCCAGGTGTTAGGATGAAGGGCCAAGGGGCAGGGTGGGAGGGTGGCCTTGGTGGAGAGAAAGCCCAGGAAGACAGCAGGGAGGGGGGCACGTGTAGTGCTCTGTCCAGGAGACAGTGTCTAGAGTTGGGCTCTCATGAGTGTTGCTGTGAGGAAGACGTCTCTGATTCAGCAGCTGTTGGCACATGGACACTAGCAAAGCTGCAGCAAGTTGTGAGGCCCAGGGAGAGTTGAGAGGGACAGGAGGAGGGAGGGTTGATGCCACAGGGCTCAACCCTGGGACCTGACGTGGGCACAGGACTCGCTGGGCCTGTCCGTCCCTCTTCAGGGCTTTCAAAGGTGTTGCGGGGAAGCCGGCACCAGGGAGGAAGGATGTGGGGGCAGCTCTGAGCTGGGACCACCTGGCCCCTGTGCACAGGACTATCCGCTCCTGAGCGGGTCCTTGGCTTTTGGTTGGGGAGAGCAACAATGCTGGTGGTGACAGCAGTCTGGAGTGAGACCCAGCAGGGGTTGAGGTGCCAGATTCACTGAGTGGTTGCACTCAGACACCTGTGGGACACTGTACCCCATCGTCTTTGTTCCGCATCGCCACCCTCTAAGCGCATGTGGCTGTGCTCTGGCCTTCCGGGGGCTGACAGTCTGAAGGAAACAAAACCAGGAGTTGTAACGCAGAACAGTGACTACCGTAGAAGCGAGTGGGGGTTGGAGACTCACCACTTATGTCTCCGGCTGCAGGGCTATTCAAAAATTTGAGGGCTGGTGCCCCTTGTACCCTGGGCTGCTCTGCCTTGGTCTGTATCCTCCTGAGAGCCTGGGGAGGTGATCTTTGCATTTTAGAGTTTAAGGGGAATGGAGTTTACTTACTTGTCCAACAACCGTGAGTGCCTGCTCCACGCCAAGCCGTCTTCAGGTGCCAGGAAGCAGCCACTGCGAACAAAACAAAATCCCTGCCCTGGTAGAATGCACACTCCGTGGGTGAAAGGCGGCAACAAGAAACAGGGTGTCGGACTGTGAAGGGTGTAGAGGAGCATGGTGCTGGGGCGGAGAGTGGGGGGGAGCTTGTGGACATTTTGAGGGAAGCGTTACAGGCAGAGGACAGCAGGTGGAAAGGTCCCGAGGGGAGAGCACGGGGAAGCTGGGACAAGCCAGGAGCCTGGTGTGGATGGTTGGGGGGGCATCGGCCTGGGTAGGGGCTGCCAGGCGGCTTTCGGGGACCGCCGTGGATGGCATCCATAGACAGTGGCCGAGAGGCAGACGATGAGAGGGGGCTTTTCCAGTGTTTCATTGGTGAGTAGACTGAAATGCTTGTTTTAGAAAACTAGTTTAATTGAAAAACAACATTCAATGGGCACAGAGGCTGGTGATACAAACAGAATCGCTTTCCCAGCACTGCTCAGGTGAACTGTTGTCCCTGCAGGTTTTTTAAAACGAGAACTTTGATAAAACATCCTTGTCGGGCTGTAGAGTTTATCCACTTAGTGTCACAGCTCTGATTTCACTGTGTTCAGTCACACATCCTGCACCAAGTTCAAATCCGACTCTTCTCACCGCCTGAGACCCAGGCAGTCCCCGTTCAGCCCCTCCCTGGCCGGCGCTGGGCTGCTCTTCCTCTGGGCACTTCAGTAACGGGTTGTACGCCACCGCGTGACCTCTGCCTGGCCTAAGCTCGCACACGAGGCTCTGACCAGCAGCTACCTGGCAGGGCTCGTGCTGATTCTGAAGCCCACCCGTTCTGTGGCAGGGATCGATGTTTGGGTCCTTCTCGCCGAATCACCTGATGGATACATCACATTTTGCTCATCCGCTCACCAGATGCTGGGCACTTGGGTTGTTTCCACTTTTTGGCCATTAGAATAATGCTGCTGTGAGTATGCATCACACGTTTTTGTTGCGGGATTATATATGGTTATGTAATTTTCACAAATGTCTGTGATTCACCTTAATGGGCTGTTACTATCAACCAGTCACCCTGGTATCAACTATTTTGGGGAAATAGCAATAAATGTAGCACTAAGGTGGCTGCTTTTTGTTTGATTTTTAATCCTGACCTGAGGATATTCTTTCCATGGTGGAAGGGGAGAAACATCCATGTGAGAGACACTGATTGGTCGCCTCCTGCATGAGCCCCAACCTGGGCCAGGGCTCAAGCCTGCAACTGAGGTATGTGCCCTGACCAGGAATCAAACTGCGATCTCCTGGATCCTAGGTGGACGCTCAACCACTGAGCCACGCTGGCTGGTCGGTCCTTGTTTTTTTTAATTTATCTTTATTGTTGAAAGTATTGCAGATGTCCCCTTTTTCCCCCCACTGACCCCCTCCACCTAGCTCCCACCCCCTCCCCAGGCCTTCACAGCACTACTGTCAGTGTCCACTGTCAGTGTCCGTGGGTTATGCACACATTCAGGTTAACTTCTTTGGTTAACCTCTTCCTGCCCTCACCCCCATATGAAACCAGAGGGTAATCTCATTAATTTTAAATACAGCAACTTGTCTGTGATCATTTAGTCTAAGCTAGCAGAGTTAATCTATGTCATCTATGCTGGTTGTAGCAACAAGCTATAAAGTGTTTTAGCACATTAATTGTAAGTTAATCTCTCTTAATAAAAATTAACATGAGCACTCCAGGTTTCTAAACGTGCAAATCCCTCATAAACATGCCATTCAAGTCCATTAATGGTTTAATGGACAACCTTTTTTGTCCTGTTGAACATATAAACATTCAACATTTCATAATGCAATACAAAGAACATCTAAAGTTCACTTTGGAGGTTCTTCAGGCACTAATTCATTCTAAAAATTGACAAAGTATCAAACAATTTTTTTTCTCTACAAACTGTATTTTGAAGTGATTAAGTCACTGATGAAGTTTTTTAAAAAAGAATTCCACCTAAGAAATGCCAACATATTAGAAAATCACCATTTTTCAATGGCTAATAAAATAATGCCTGTTGAGAACAATCCCATGGCCCCTGAAGCCACAGCACCTCTGAAAGTTGACACCTCTGAAAGTTGACGCGGGGGTACAGGAGCACCCACACCCACACCGCAGGGGAGTCTCGGGCCAGGCAAGCCCAGAAGTGCCACAGAAATTCTCAGCCACCATGTCCTGGTTTCCTCTGCACCTGAGAGCCACAATTACAGAAAAGTGATTGTGGTGTAATGCAGATTTGCTCTTTGTCCCGGCTCCTGGCACACAGCTCCTTTAAAACCCGGAGAATTTCCTGGTAGGGGCGTCTTGTTGTTCATAACAGATCCTTTCAACCTTACTGGAGTTTATGGTGATAAGAGGACACTGGGTGGGTCCCCATGGAGTGTCTGGATGGCTGCTGGTCCCCTGACCTCTGAGAAGGGCGAAGGGCTGGAGACTGAGTCAATCACAGGGAACTGATCATTTAACCAGTCCTGCCTCTTAATGCAGCCTCCATAAAGGCCCCCAACCTATGAGTTTGCAGAGGTTCCACGGCCGAGCACACGGGAGGAGGTGCTGGGGGGGG